ATTTTCAAATAAAATAATAACAAAATAGAAAAGATAAAGCCAACTGAACTAAAATAAAAACAAGTATTTAACTCTTATCTTATCAGATACAGATACCTAGCAAAATTATAGTCTCTGCAAAAACTGTTCCCTCGTTCATAGTATATGGGCTTAGGATAGCGTTAATTAATATCATCGAAATTCTTGATAATTTTTACTGAATCATTTTGTTTGGCAAATATTCTTCCACTAACTGTCCATACATGTTGTAAACCATATTTTTTTTTTGCTTCTATATATATCTTGTATCGCATACTAGTTAAGTCTTCATTTATAAATATTCCTGTTTTCTTTAACTGTTTTCTGGCTTTAAAAATTTGATTTTTTTTAAATTCTGTTACAAAATTCACAATTATTGTTCTGGGTTTTGGTTGATTATTGATTTTTCCCATTCTATAAACATTATTTATTTCTAATTCTGTACATGGAATTTTCAATTGAGTGCCGAATAGTTTTGTAACCATGGTTACCAAATCTTCATTATCGGTTTCTTTTACACCATCTAATCGTAAACAATTTTTTCTCATATTTTGCTGCACATCATCAAATTTGAAATCCCAAGCTTTTATATCTTTTCCGTTAGACTCAATTGAGGTCTCCAAATCTTATTTTTTTTTGGAATAAGTCAAACTTTTTATCAAACTGCTCTTCGATTTTATTCAAAAATTTTTGACATACCTTTTCTGCCATTTCTTCCAAGAGCTCTTCATCCATCTTACTTTGACTTCTAGTGGGCATGACCTATGGACTATTTGGTGCTAATATTTTGTGAAAGTGAATATTGCATTAATTAACAATAAATTATTCAAATTCCTGCTTTATAACTTATCTATAACCGAAACTGCACTCTTCAATTTGACTAGAAACTATTCTGACATGTATGATCACAATTTAAACAGAATTTCTTTACAAAATACCATCAAATTTTAAAATAAGTAGGAGCTCAACAAAATCGCGTCTACACGTACTGAATACTCATTATATTATATAGACAGGTTATAGAATGAACGTGTTATTTATGGCTAACCAGACCATTATAAGCTATTAATAAGACATCTTAAAGATTTATGACTTCACAAGATCATTGCAAGCTATTAATAAGTCTTATTTATGGCTTATTTAAAGCAAAGCTTCGCAAAACCATTATAAGCCATTAATAAGACATCTTAAAGACGTCTTATTTAAGGCTTCACAAGACCATTATAAGCCATTCATGTCGTCTTAAAGACGTCTTATTTATAGCGTATTTAAGGCTTCACAAGACCATTATAAGCTATTAATAGTTGTCTTAAAGACGTCTTATTTTAAGCTCTACAGACCAATATAAGCCATTAATAAGACGTCCCCTTTTGTAACATTAGACGTCTTCTAAGACACCTTTCAGGAAATACCAGACGTCTGATATGTCTTATGCGAGACGAATCTAAGACGACTTTGTGCTATCTGGGAAGCAGAAGTTCAACCAAGGCTATCAGAAGTTCTGGTTGCAGTGCAACATTGAAACACAGTATTATGTACTGTAGAACAATGTTGAAAAATACCTTATCGCTTTTTCATCATCATACCTAGTCGAAAAAGGCTTCAGTGGGGTTACAAACATTTTGACAAAACAAAGAAATCGTCCGTTTGGAAATCAACGAACTCGGAGATTTAAGGATGCATCTAACCAATGTTGAATCAGATTTAGCTAAATTGGTAGAGTCACCAGCTTCATCCATCACACTGAATTATTTTATTTTATATATCTTTACTATGCAATTTTAATGTTTTTTTTTTAATAATTACCTATTTTTACGTAATTTATATTAATAATGTAATGCGAGCCATTTCATTATTCAGTCATGCTCTAATTCTCCAAGTCCCTCTCTGTCTTATTTAGCCTTTGAGACTCAGCTTGTCCGATTATCATGCATAATTAAACCCCTTAAGACCAAACATATGTGACGTCTATGGCGAAGGCGCTTTCGATTACTTTCCAGAACGAACGTGATGTTTCTAGTTTTGACGAGAGCATTCTAGAGCATCACTAGAATTTCCAATGCGTGGAGGAACACGGAGCAGTCAGTCGTATACAAATAGTTGTGAAGATAAATAGTGAACAATTTAAAGACATTCGAAATATATATATATATATAAATTAGAATGTTATGTTGATAATGGGGTGTTAATACACTGCGACCTAAAAGATCTATTGTGCCCCCTTCTGTCGCCACTGCACTAAGGAAATGTCTCAATGCCTATAGCGACCCTTCCAATCCTATTTTCTCAAGGAAGTGTAGGATTTGAAGTGGCTTCAAGTTAGGTAAATCTCCCTCTTCTATTTGATATCCTCCTAGATATAGTGCCCTTGGATTCTGGAGTGCTACACATTCAGTTAGAATGTGAATGGAGGTTTCGTTCTCCTCCTCACAGAATCTGCACTCACTATCCTCTACTACTCTCAGTTTACTTAGGTGTCCTTTTAGTCGGCAGTGCCCGGTAAGGATCCCTGTTACAATACGTAGCCTGTTCTTGCTCAGGCAGATGCAGGCTTCCGATCTTTTTTGGTTATATTCACCCAGAAGTATCTTGGCCTGTCTCAGCCCCAAGAGATTGTTCCAATTATCGGTTCTTCTACTACCCAATTCTTTTTTAATCTCTTCTAATATAAATTAGAATAGTATTGTTTTAAAATAAATAGGTGTGTAAATAAATTATTAACAAATAAATTGTTATTTAAAATAAACTATTGTAACATTAGTGTCAGAAGTGGGATAGTGTAAATAAATAGTGAGTAAAAATGTCTCTAAAAAACTGTGATTTAAAAGTGGCTGAATTGCGTCGAGAATTACAAGATCGTGATCTGGAGACGACAGGGAAGAAAGCAGAGCCGACAGAACGACTTAAAGAAGCAATAAAAAGTGCAGGTTTGGATCCGGAAACGTATTTATTTTCGGATGATACATCTTCTGCTATAATTTCTTCAATTTCTTCCGATATGGAAAGTAAGATGATCTCTATGAAAACCGATATTTCTTCATTTGAAACTAAAGTTTCTTCTGACATTACATCCTTAGAAAGTAAAGTTCTTCTGATATATCTTCTTTAAAAACCGAAATTTCTTCCGACTTGGAAAGCAAAATGTCTTCTATGGAAAATAAATTTTCGTCTAATATTTCTTCCTTAGAAGAAAAGATGTCTTCCGAAATGTCTTCTTTCAAAGATGAAATCTCTTCTGATATTACTTCTATGAAAAACGAAATTTCTTCTATGGAAGATAAAATTTCTTCTGTTGAGGAGAAAATTAAAGAAATGGAAAAGAAGATAGAAGAAATGGAACACGTAGACCAAACCAAGAACGGTGAAATAAAGTGCCATAAGGTGGAGTCAAAGTTGAAATTGGAAAGAGCTGTAAATTCTCCTCGTGTTAAAGCCCCAACTTTCGACGGAAAGATGTCATGGACCAACTACCTTAAACAGTTCGAAACAGCTGCCAGAGCAAACGAATGGTCTGAACGAGGGAAGGCAGTAAATTTGACCATCGCCCTTCGAGGAGACGGTAGATGTTCTTCAGACAATACCTGCGAAAGAGACGGATGATTTTGAACAAATCAAAAAGAGACTCAACATGCGATATGGCCACGAACATTTGGAGCAGGTGTAACGATTACAGTTGAAGAATCGCAAACAGAAATGTGGCGAGACCCTTCAAGAATTCGAAATAGATATTGCGAAGATGGTGCGATTTGCCTACCCATCAGCTCTGGAATACATGATTGAATGTTTGGCTGTTCAAGCATTTGTAGACGGACTTCGTGACCATGAAATGCAAAGAACACTCCGTTTGGCTGTTATAATTAAAACTACCTTTTGAAAATAAGCTTTAATAAGCAAAATTGAGCCTGACAAAATTGACAGTGATTAAAATTAACGTAGATACAATAAACAAGTATACATAGGGTAGTACGTTACGAAAATACATCACATTAGCCCGTGACAAAACATTGGTCGATGTCTTGTCCGCTGCTCTTGAATATGAAGCGGCTAGTGGATACAGTGAAGTAAGGACTGTAAACGAAGACGAACTCAATTGTTTCACATGATAAAATGCCTTATTGAGAAGCAACCGAAGACTATTAGGTTCTGGGGTGAAATGGGAAATGTAAGCAGTTCGAATCGAAAAACCGTACCGGTGGCTGTACAGGAAGGAACGGTGTTGCCTGAAAGAAGTGAAACCGTAAGAGTAACGCGGTTGCAAGGTAAGCAACGCCTTCAAAGTGTAATAAAGGTGTTGGTCAAGGAACTCTGATTGGAAAGGGGTTGACCACATCTGCTGAAGAAGTTACAGTACGAAGAACGACGGTTGTCAGCGATGAGTGGGCCCATGTAAAACTTAGAGAAGAACAAGGTCCCGTTTTAAAGAAGATAAGACAATGGAAAGAGAAAATTTGTCGACCTATTTGGCAAGAAGGATCGAAACTCTCCAGTAGTTAAATCATATTGGGCTCAGTGGGACCAGGGGCGTGCGGTCCATGGAAGCGGGGGAAGCACCGCTTCCCTACACTTTGAAATTTAAAAATAAATATTTTTAAGTTTACAATGCATAGAAATTAATATTAAATTAGGTACTATATTTTCTCTGAAACATTACGTAAACTTCGTAAATGTACTAACAATTCATTGGTGTGTAAACGCACGCACCACCCATGAGAAAATGAATTGTGTAAACGTACAAATGGTCTGTCAGCGGAAGCACCTCTTGAAATAACCTGTTCATCTTGCAAGTGATTTCGCTTAGTGTTATTGACCCTGCTTTGCAGCGACAGTTTCAGTCTGTTTGCACACGTGAAATACGGTCGAGAGGCAGCGATTATTACGTCGCCTTACGCTTATTGCAATTCGCACCGCGAATCGACGTGTGAGGAAAATCTTAGATTTTAGGTAGATTTCGGTTTGTTTTTCGTAGTTGTTTTTTTTGTAAGATGGAGGAACTATGTACTGTGCCTGTGAACAATAATAATGTGGTAAATTGTGTCTGTATTGTGTGCTCTTTATTAAAAAAAGGATTTTCAAGTAGAAATTTTGAAGAGAAAACGGATATTATTAATTCTAATAGACTAAAGCGAAGTTTTTCAGCTTTAAAGCGCATTAAAAGTTTTATACGAAATTCAACAAATGAAGACATACTCTCTAATTTAACCCTAATATCAATTGAAAAACATTTTGTTAAACAGTTATCAGAAAACCCAAAATTTTACAACGATGTTATAGACAAATTTGCAGCCATTGAGGATAGATCTTAAGTATAAATAAATGTCAACTGCTATGTCAACTGTGCGACAAATGCTGGAGAAAATAAAAAAAAACTTCAGTTAAATGTTTTTTTTACGTTTAAATAAACCAAGGAAGCTTTTCAATGGTAAGTTTTTTTATATCTTCTAGTACTAAACTAGGTAATAAAGTAATAGTAACACTTCAAAAATCTCAGTCTCGAATATCCTTAGTACTGAGGAAAAAAGCAAGATTTTGACAAAATGGTGAATGCGCCGCGAAAAATTTTCGTCTGCGGCGCTGTGCTTACTGGCCTGCTGTATTTTTATACAATCGCTTCCCCTTCCAAAAATGTCACCGCACGCCACTGAGTGGGACTCTTTTATTCTAGAAGAAGGCTTATTAAAGCGAGTACTAGAGAATGATGATGGTTCCGAAAACAGAAAATAGTTGGTCATTCCAAAGAGTAGAGTAGCCGAAGTACTTCGTCAGTTACACGACAGTCAATCAGGACATCTCGGTGTTAAGAAAACCCTTCAAAGAGTTATATTAACTATTTATAATATAATATTAACCCGCATAAAAACAAACGTCTATCAGGAGCTGAATATAGAGAGAAAATAGCAAAGAGAGAAGAGGAAATAAAAACTCTGGCTGGAAGTTTTGACAAATGATTAAAGCTTGTTAAAAATTTAAAGGACACCATTGATTATACAACCACTACAGAAAGTGATGCTTCTACAAATATTATAGAAGATGTTTCTCGTGGTAATTTTAGTATAAATGTCTTCATGTTCTGGTAAAAAAAAACATTGTTTATCTCTTAGTAGGGTCTTATTTGCTATGTTTTAGAAGTTCAGTCATCACAAGATCAAGAGATTAGCTTTATACCATTAGACTGTCCTAAATCCAGTGATGAAGGTAAAGATGAACCGAAGATGAAGTTCAGGGTTGATATATTTTTTGTTTTGTTAGACACAATAATTCAATTTTTGGAAGAAAGGTTTGAACCAGGTCTATTCAGATTATTTTTCTTTACAATATTTCATTGCTTTCCACTTTTAATAAAAATGAGTTATTCAAACACTGCATGGAGTTGCATACATACCGTCAACTGGAGTGAAGTCGGACAATATTTTGCGTTTTTTTAAGATACTGCAATCAATTTTACCTCCAAAATTATCCAAAAATTCATTAAGTTAGATCTGGGCACTACTAACGATATGGGCTATTTATAGTTTGCAAAAAAAATCAAGAACATATTTTTTTTTGTGAAAAATGAGTGTCCAACTTTCCCCGCAAAATGGGGTGAAGTTGGAACTGGCTTTAAATGTATATAAAACCAACTACCGAAGTCTATATAAGCAGAGTTGGACAAGAAAAAGCATTTTTAAAAAATATAACACTAATTTAAACACTTAAAAAAATAAAAATGCTGTTAAGAGTACAAATATTTTATTCTAAATGAAACAAAATATTTTTTTTTCTCTAAAACAAGTTAACAAAGAGCAAACTACAAAAGAAAGGAACTTAAAAAAAGTTTAGATCTTGATTGAAGCGCCTAAGAAGCGCCTACCCTATAAAATCATAATTGAGATCTTCTCGGAACTGGATGCGATTTCTTCTCAAGTCAATGGGATTTCTTAACAAAATCTTGATATCTTCGTTGTAAACTATTGATTTATCGGGAACATCTGGATAAACAAAGTAGTAATAATTACCCCTACATACCTTTTCAGAAAATTTCTTTCTTAGGAAGTTTATAGTACAAAAGTCCTTATGGATATCTTCAATTTTTCCAACAAAGTTTAAATTTCTTTTATTGGCCTCGAACTTAACAACAACAAATTAGTCCTTTTGAAACACAGTATTATTAGGAACAGAAGGTTTTACAGCCCTATTTTTATTGAGAGCATCACTATTATTTTCGTCATCACCACTACTTTCAGCATTATTGTTTACTGAAACTTGATCTGAGTCCACGCCCTCTTCTAATTTAGCATCATTGTTTGTTGGAACTTGATCTAAGTCCTCGTTCTCGTCTGATTCAGAAATGAATGTTGAAGCTTCTTCACCAGATTCGTCATCTTCATCATTATTAGGAAATGATACACTTCTACCTGGTACAATGGAAAGCTTCTTTCCCCTCGGTTTTCTTGTAGAAGACGTCGAAGTAATATTGTCTTTAAAAAAACTAGTAAAACTGTAAGTCCAGTTCGTTTCTACAATGGTATTGTCATTAACGGGTGTATAGTCCGCTAATTTTTTTAAAACTCTGTCTGGATTGGGTGGTATGATTCCGCATGCTGCAAATCCAGCTTTAACGTTATCGGCAGAGCGAAGACTTATTTTTTTAAATGTCTTGGACAGCAAAGATGGAAAATCATTTTTGGGAAAAACGCCTCTATTCTTAGTTTTCCACTTTCTAAGAACGCTTCTTTCATTGGTCTAAAATAAGAGACATCAAGTGGCTGGCAGAGGTGTGTGGAATTTGGTGGGGGAAGTGTAAATTCAATGTTATTGTCCTTACATTTCTTGATCACTGATACAGAGACATGGCTTGAAAGGTTGTCACCCAAAAGAATTTTTTTACTTTGGAGCTTAGAAAAATACGGCAAGGCTATTTTATTAAACCAATCCTCAAAAGAAAATTGGTCAAACCAGCCACTCTTGCTTCTATTATACACAGCACCTCGGGGCCCATTTTCAATCCATGTTGGATACAAATGTTGTGCCTTATACACGACATATGGCGGGAGAACATGGCCAGACCCTGCAGCAGCAATCATAACAGAAATACTAGTTTTGGAACTATCCATTACGGTCGCAATATTTTGCTCCTCTTTTGGCAATAACTGTAACTTTTCCCGGATCATCTGAAAAGTTGGTCTCGTCATAGTTGGCCACATTTTCGGAAGGGACATTTTCAATTAAATTGTGAAGCTCTTTAAAATAATTTTGAATCACAGTCGATGTCACTTCTGCTCGCGCACGTTTCATATTTTGTGACAGTCTAACAGATAATTCATTATGTCTGTTTAGAAAATTTTTTGACCACTCATATCCAGGAACGTTGTTATTAAAAATATTAATGGTCTTCCCAGTTCGATCTAAGTAAGACTTCACAATAAGCCTAACATCTCTGGTAGTAAGTGGAAAATTCCATTTTGCTGCCGTCATAATGCCTTCGCTTAATATTGATTCCTCAGCTGCAGATAGGACTGTTTGGCCGCCATAATTTTTTTCGCATTTAATTCCCTTTAAGTGATTGTAAATTGTAGACTTAGGAATAGAATATTTTTCAGCTGCCTTCCTAAGATTTAGCCTCTTTGATCTTACATCTTGAACTGCCTTGCGCAAATTTTCTTTTAAATAATTTGACTTTGGTGGCACTCCTAATTTCCGTTTATAAGTCCGAACCATTTTGTCCAACTTGCCCCTACAAAATATTTTTTTTTAATGTTACGCCACTGGCATCACTATAATTAATAAATATGCGGGTAGTACTTTTACGGTTTGTTACTAACATAATAACGAAATATAAACACAAATATCACTATCCTATTATTGTGTCCATACGTCAGGTACAATAGTTATAAAACAGAATTTCAAAACACAAAAAAATTTCCTATTATATTTACGTAAAAATATAAATTACTTACCACTAGTAGATCTACCTCTCCTGTCGGCATAAACCATGGAGGAAGGATAAATAAGAGTTGCAGATTCCACACAGAAATTTGGCAACATGTTTGCCTTCAGCGACATATTGTAATGAAGTCAATTTTCATTACTATATTTCGGCCTATTCCGGATATAAATTTTAATTTTATTTTAACTTCATGGGTAGACCCTGTATATCAAATTTTGTTTCATTTAAATTAGCGTATTATACCTGAGTAACGATAGCGCGCGCGATCCGCGCACACCGGGTGGGGGCCAGCCTGCTTGGGCATAGAGACTGGGATTCAGCATTGGGTATTAAAATGAATTCATTCAAAATCATTCGACTAGCTTGATTTCATTTTTCCGACCTCGTTAAGTCTGCTTCGTTATACGCCGTAAAATCATTGCCGAGACCGTAGTTAGGTACACCGAATTCATGTTTACGTTTTTTTTTCTATCGTCGGTTCTTGAGCTAAACATTCGAATACCGGTTTTATTTGATTAAATTATTCCGTTTTCGATTTTATTTAAGAGAAATAATAATTGACTTTAGATTTTCGTTAAAAATATTTTGATTTTCAGATAAATTATTTAGTTTTGATTTTATTTAGAAACATTGGAAATTAGTTTTGGTTATTAGGAAGTAGACATTTTGTTTTTATTTTATTAATTACTTAATTTTTATTGCGACCGTGGATTGTGTTTCTATTTTAGAGTAATAGTAAACCTAATTTCAAATTAAATTCCGTATACAGTTAATTACTTAATTTTCATTGCGACCGTGGATGTTGTTTCTATTTTTAAGTAATAATAAATTTAAATTAAATTCCGTATATAGTTAATTACTTAACTTTTACTACGACCATAAATTTTGTCTCTATTTATTCACAATCTGGTTTAACTTTTTTTTACATTTATGTTTCTTTACTTGGGAATAGAATTAGTTCGAAAGTTGAAATAGTATCATTTTTCATGTTGAGTGGACTGGTTTTGGCGAGAAAGCTCACATGGGATTAGATACTATCCCGATATTAGATTTTTTTTAGATTAACCCCTAGCCGTGATTAACATATTAGTGTTTTTCTTATGTTTGAGAGGGCTGGTTTTGGCGAGTACACTCATCATAGGATAAATACTAACCCGGTTTTTGATTATTTTTTTTAGTTACCTCCGCCCCGTGATTAAAATGATAGTATCATTTTTATGTTGAGCGGGCTGGTTTTGGCGAGTACACTCCTCATAGGATTGATACAATCCCGTTTTCTTACCACATTTATCTGTTCCCTATTCACTAACACAAGGAGGTTTGTTTCAGTTTCAATACCGACTAGATAGTTAACCAGATAACTTTTTCTACGACCGTGAT